GTTAAAAGGTTCTTTATATTTCTAAAAGATTCAGTCTCTTCCTTTGTCAGCTTTATTGTCTTAGATTTTTGTTCGAGACGCATTCGCTCTGTCAGCGGTAATATTATGTTGCTGAAATTTGGTAAAAGTCTTCTATAAATATTCACCATTTCTAAAAATCTGAGTAAGGATTCAGAATCATTTGTTATTTGGAAATTGCGTAAGTTCATTTAGTTTCTTTGTACTGGGTTTAAGTCCATCAGCTGAGATGTGAAATCCTTGAAATTCGAGCTCAGTAACAACAAATGTACATTTTGAAAGAGAGATTTTAAAATCATACTCACTGAGTTTCTGTAGTAGTTCCTCAAGATGTTTATAATGGCTAACTTCGTCATCCGAGTAGATAAGAATATCGTCAATGTAAGTGAATGTACATTTTAGGTCAAGAAAAATACTATCCATCATCCTTTGAAAGGTACTAGATGCGTTTCGCAAACCGAAAGGCATATAATTGTACTCGTATAATCCAAAAGGTGTGGTTTATCGCTGTTTTACATATGTAATCGGGGTGTACTGGTGATATGCTGATGACCGGTCGATTTTCGAGAAAACCTTTTTGTTGTGCAATTTAGATGACAGAGAATTTATGTTTGGTATCGGGTAGCGACCAGGTTTTGTTATTGCATTTAGTAACCTGTAGTCACCTAGGGGTCAGTAAGTACCGTCGGGTTTAGGTACCATATGTAGGGCTGCACTCCATTCCGATTTTGAAGGGGAAATTATTCCAGTTTTCTGAAATTTCCGAAATTCTTCCATCTCTATGTTGTATTTTTGAGGTGATAATTGTCTAGTTTTTGAGAAGGAAGGAGGATTACTTCCAGTTTCAATCTTGTGGAATACCTTGGGTCTGATAGCGTTGATATTTCGATGTGGAGAGATTATATTTGGCTATTTCTTTATGAGAATTTTGACTGTTATGTCTGTAGGATTGTCGGGATAAACATCAATGTTCATTAGCGTAGAAGATAATTGTACTTTAGATTGTCTATTTGTTGTCGTATCTATTAGTTTACTATTAGTACAAACAACCAATAGTTCAAAGTGGCTCAAGAAGTCATAACCTAGGAGAGCTTTGGTCGTTTCTGCAACAAGAAAATTCCAAGTAAAGACTCTTCTGAGGTTATTTAATGCTGATGTGATTACTGCTTGGCCAGAGCATTCTATTTTTACTCCTTTAGCTGCTACAATAGAGATGTTGTTTGGGTGGATGACGACACCGTTTAGAAATGGTTTTGGTATTACTAATACAGCTGCTCCTGTGTCTACAACAAAATTCACTTTGTTAGCTCTTAACCGTACGGTTACTTCAAGAAGCGGCGAATATGCGGAAGCTATCATATTACGCCGAACTAGTTTTCTGGATTTATATCTGATACAAGTGAACTGGATCTTGAACTTGGTTATATTTGTACGTTTTTCTTATTAGGCCATTTGCACCAGGGTTTGCAAAATTTTGCACGTTTGGCAAAGTAAATGTGTGCTCAACAGATTTTGGGCTTATGATTTCTGTGAAACGGAGAGATACCAAGTGAAGTTTCTTTCGTTGTATTCTGGTATCTTTGCAGTTGTCGATGGCTTTCTCTAGACACTTGCTGGATATGTGTTGTTTCTTGTCTGTTAAAATACAGAAGATCATCGAACATCTTTCCTAACCGATCGAATTCCAGATCTGTTTGCGCGGCTATCATTGGATTTATAGAAGGCGGCAGCGCTTGTATAAATTTATGTTGGTCAATATCTTAATTTATTCCTATGCGACTAGCTAACGACATCAATTCGTTTAAGTAAGTCGAAGGTCGTTCTGATATTGCTGAAGATGACATCAGTTTGTCGGGCATCACTGGTTTCAACTTTTCATATGTATTGATTGCGGCTTCCTTCAAGAATTATGAATGTAATATATTTGGCGTTATTCTTCCTACTCTTTCTGAAGGAAGAGCTGCCAAAGTGTGGCAGAAGATTTGTCATGCTTTTTTATGTTTTTAATGCTGAACTGTGCTTCCATTATAGGAAACCAGGCGATTACATTGGATTCAAATACGGCTGTTTTGATGGTCACAGCTTGTATGGATGGATCCTAGTTGATAATCATTTGTTCTGTGCCATTTCCTTTTTCTGCCATTGATTGTGGTTGAGAATTTTTTAGACGTCGGGGTTAACCAATTTATAGTGGGTTATGAGTTATAGTGAAGTTTATGAGTGTGGAAACAAATTAGTTTGATTTGGCCTTGTTAGCTAGATAGCCCACCCTAAGAGGGGTATAAAACAAGAAAATCAAATTGTAAAGTGAAACAACAAATTTATATACATATAAATCAATTAAGGTCTTTACAAATAAAATTAATGCATTTTAAGTTGATACAAGGTCATCAAAATGTTCGTAGTTGTCCTTGCAAGAATGAGTTTATGTGTATGTAGGCAGGAACGTATGTGTGGATGTATGTATGTACGAGCGTTATCGAAGGGTAGGAATGTCTTTGAAGTAATAGCTCAGTCTTAAAATGTTCCATTCGTTTATCAAGTATACAAGTGGTGAGGGTGAAAGGTAGAGATAATAATAACGCTCGCTTGACGCTTGTCAAGGGACGTGTTAATACGCTCGTCTCCTTCTCTCTGTGACAGGCGAACTTACCCGTCTTTTATTTTGTTTTTGGAGCTTGAAAAAGTAATTTGAGAATTCTCTCCCGGATCTGATTCAGGCCTTTTCATTGGACGAGGAACAAATTTTTACGTCGGCTCGCGAAAAGACCCGCGAAAGAATTTGTTTCTGAGAATTGAAGATTATTTGAATTTTGTTTTTAAATATTTCCTAGTTTTCTATTGGCCGAAAGACATTTCGCATCAAGGTGTGAAATTTTACAAGTTTTGTTTTGGATTCGCTTTTGCAGGTGTGTTAAGCAAAGTTTGTAAATTCGATTTTTTTAAAATTTTTAACAAAATCAATAAGTCATTGCTTAGCATTTGAATTATATATATGTAGATCTTTTTTTTCTTTTTTTTTCTTTTTTTTTCACTATAATTGTGCTCGGAAAAACTGTTCGAAGTTCCTATTTTGTTATTTTTTTTCAGGTACTTTCGACTTTCGCAGTCATTATCAAGAACCGACCTAGTGGTAGTTAGAATTGTTAACTGGGAACGAGGCCGCCCGAAAAGATTTTTTTTATTGATTTAATTTAAATATCTATTTTTATTTTATTTATTCTTATTTTATTATTAGCTTCTACAGTTTTGATTCTTTCCTTGCATTGGTTGCTGTAGAATATTTTGATGTTATCTACTAGTACTTGGCTTATGTTGATAGCTCTTCTTTAGTCGTTAATGATGTACTGGTGTACACGCACTGCCATCTAGAACCTATTATTATACAAAATAAAGAGCCCACATTAAATTATCATTCACCCCAGGAGGAGATATCTTAAAGTGCATATGATTAAATTTGTCAAGTCTGTCGTATTTACCAACATTAAACGTAGTTTGTTGATTATCGCCTTCGTGATGAAGCAATTTTCAAAACAGTTTTGCAAGGTAATTTAAAATCTGAATTGGTTTTAATTCTGTGTAGCTGATCCTATATTCTTAAAGATAGTCATTTAAAAAGTAAAAAATACTTTGGCAGAAGTGACATAGTTCATTCTAATATAATTAGAAAAAAAGATATTTCTAACTCATTACTATGTTCCTAAAATTTAAATATCACCTTAACAATTCCGTTTTGCAATTTCCAATTTAAACGCCATGTTCTTTAGGCACGCAGTGCTATTAGACGTCTGTTATAGTACACAGAATGAACGATCGGTTTCACGTGATTAATTCTTTTGGCCTCACTCTGTTGAGGTATTATATCAATAAATAAGAAGCTTGAATATTCTCGATGAAAAAATACAGACACACACACACACACTATATATATATATATATACATTACATGAATCATTCATACCAAAAACAGATATAGAAGTTAATGATATAAATGGTTCTGGGTTAATGTACTTTATTAAATTTTTTTCCGAAGATGTATTTACCATTTATATCATTAACTTCTATATCTGTTTTTGGTATGAATGATTCATGTAATGTACCACATACTTGATATATACATACATATATATATATGAAAAAATATAGTTTAAAGGTTTGCTATATTTATGGGCTAAAGTGCTCAATGCCAGAGACAGAGGGTATGAAAATATAAAAGTAAACACTGAAGTCAACACTCAGAGGCGACAGAGTATTTCATGCTGACGATTGGATTTGGCATGAAAGAGCCTGTCGCCTCTGACTGTTGACATCAATGTTCACTGTCATATATATATATATATATATATATATATATATATATATATATATATATATATATATACATTACATAAAATGTATTTGAGTTGAATTAGACCACAAACCCAATGTCGTGCGTTTGTTTATTTATTTTTTGAAAATAATAATGAAGTGTTCTTTAATTTTTTGTAAAAAAAAAAAAAATAGAGCATTAAGAGGACATTTGATAAAAAAAAAAACGCCTGAGTATATAGAAAGGTTAAAATCAAGGTTGCGGATTCAACTGACCTCCTGATTTTTAAAGTATATATATATATTAACTATAACCTGAGATGCAAACGAACAGTGGATATGATAAGAGATAGATATAGGAGAGAAACCAACAAATTATATATATATATATATATATATATATATATATATATATATATATATATATATATATATATATAATCAAAATGAGATAGATAGATAGATAGATAGATAGGATAGGAAGGAAGGAAGGAAGGAAGGTAGGTAGGTAGGTAGGTAGGTAGGTAGGTAGGTAGGAAGGAAGGAAGGAAGGTGGGGATCACTGAAATGTAGTTGGCCAGAACCGATTTTACCAAATCTGATCAGATGATAACACATTTGATATTTTTTATAAAAAGGATTCTTAATTTGCCCAATATTCCACTACGTATCTCTTGCGGCCATATCAAGTTAAGACACCGGTTCTCATACGATCGCCGAAGTTAAGCAATGTCGATACCGCTCAGTACCTAGCTGGGTGACCACTTGGGAATATCAGGGTGCTGTAAGCTAGGATGTGCGTATGGTGTAATGGATAATGATTTGAAATTAGAAACTAGAGAGTAGTTCTAGTCCCAGCCAGCTTCGTTATATTGACTTACGTGCAAATACAGGGTGACCCCTTTGAGCTCTGCGTATTTGAACAATTAAAGAATATATATATATATATATATATATATATATATATATATATATATATATATAATATTTATTGTATATAGCAAATATTTTCAATAATTGTCAATGAACGTACTGGAGTAATGAATACTGATCACGCAGATCTAGCATTATACAGTGGACATTTAAGATCAAAATTCAGCTAATAGCACTCATGCTGCGGCTAAAAAGTTTTATAAATAAATACACGAATCACATAGTCAAGTAGCGCGAAATAATGAAAAAGAAATTCTTCTTTAAAGTTTTCTTTATGTTTTAATGAAAATGAAATGTCTTTTTCATTCCTCGTTATTTTCTATCGTAAGTGTATCTCCCAAGTCTCGCCTTCTTGTTCGCATTACTTGGAGCAATGGTCGTAACAACAGCTTGGCCGATGTCATTTTCATAATTGTTTTAATTTGTGCCCGGCGGCAAATTGAGCTTTATGTCATTCGCCTCTTACTCTTTGCCATCAGAAAATTATGTTAACAAATTGGAACGAGACAATATAAAATATAAGAAAGCATGGGCTTTATATATATATATATATATATATATATATATATATATATATATATATATATATATATATATATATATATATATATATATATATTCTCCACACGGGTAAAAATATATAGAGAAAAGTTAAAAGGCAACTGGAGTATTTTATTTTATTTTAAGTAACTTCACCAGTTTCATAGTTCAAAAGATTTTCAAAAGTTAAATAGAGATGGATGATGTGTGGCTATATCATGACTTGTTTCTGCATATCTCTCTCTCTCTCTCTCTCTCTCTCTCTCATATATATATATATATATATATATATATATATATATATATAAAAAAAGAGAAGAGAGGTGCCGCTAACGTTTTTTAGTTGCAATTGTTTTTATTTAAAAAAAAGCATTATGCTTTTTTTAAATAAATCCACATTACAACCAAAAACGTTAGCGGCACCTCTCTTCTTTTTTTATATACATACTTTTCTCTCGTTGGAACCACTACAACATATTTATTTATATATATATATATATATATATATATATATATATATATATATATATATATATATATATATATATATGTAATATTTATCTTATGTAGGAAATATTTTCAATAAGAATTGTCAATGAACGTACTACTGAAGTAACGAATACTGCTTGCGCAGATCGAGCATTATACAGTGAACATGTAAGCTCAAAATTCAGCTAATAACTCTCATGCTACGCATAAAAGTTTTATAAATGAATAGACGAATCACATAGTCAAGTAGCGTCAAACAATTAAAAGAAATTCTTTAATTCTTTGTGCCCTCTGTTCCTGAACAATTTTAACCCTTCTGCCTGAGCTTCTCAGTCAAAAAGCTCAAATAATTGGTAGGTAATGTTTCACGGTAGATAGTTACAAGCGTTTACCCACCGTTCAACCGGTAGCATTAAGTCACTTTTCTCTTCCACTGTTTAACTGGTGGATAGGCATTACGTCATTTTCTCTAACACCGGTAAAGCAGTGGACAGGGCTCAAAGGGTTAATATTAATGTTTCTTCTTTTCTCTTTCAGGATATATATGTTGACTTTGTGCACGAAATATTGGAACAATAATCTTTCGCAATATGTCTTGGTCAACCAAGGAAAAGACATTTTACATGGAGGCTTATTTCGCCAACAAATTATGCACTGTAATGCAAGCAAACATTCAGAGAAAGTTTGTGTCGTTATCAAAAAGCAGAAAATTTAACTGGCTGTAGAAATTCATAGAGTATGGGACTGTTCAAAATCTAAAGTCTAATGGTCTGAGGCTTATTCTGGTCGGATGGTGAGTGCTAAAACAGAAAGAAACATTGATGTTGTACGGGACTCAGTGAGGAGGATCCCCAAAAAATCACTTCGACGACAAAGTCAGCAATTGGGATATTCTTGAGAGTCAGGCATGTTCTTGAATCAGATCATCATTCGTATCCTTACGACATTCAAATAAATTAAAAATTTACGGAGACGGTCATAAGAAAAGGCCTAGCCATTTGGGAATAATTTTGTGACACAATCTAAGACAATCCAGATTCTTGGATCATGTTTGGTTCTCTGATGGAGCGCACTTTCTGCTTTCAGGACGTAAACAACAAAAACAATGTTTATTAGGGTACAATCGCACCTCATGCTGTGTTACAGAGGCCGTTACACGGAACAAAGTGCACACCATGGGTTGCAATTTCTAAACATGTTATTATCGGCCCATATTGGATCGAAGACAAAAATGAGAGACCTCAAACTTTGAATACAAACCGCTATAGGGAAGTGCTGACGAAGCTTTGCGCATCACTGGGGCGACGCAGAGGGATAGATCGAGATGAAGAGTGGGCCACCCCCACACACACATCAAACGACTCCCTAGCCTGTCTGAGAGAGAGATTTCAGGAGAGACTGTTCAGCAGGAAGTGTGACGTTGAGTGGCCACCTCACTCACCTGACTTGAACCCCACAGATTTTTATTTATCGGGTGGTGAATATCTCAAGCATAATATGTACTAGAACAATCCTCAAACGACTGATAAACTTAGTAATTGACATTTTTGCGCGATTTTTGCCTCTAACGCCGCGGAGTTTATTTGAAGCTTATTTTGGAAAGAACGCGACCAATTTAACTAAAACTTTTGAGAATGATCTTATAAAGATTGAATTGTAAATCCACCAAGTTTCTTGAAATTACCTGGACTTTTGTAGGATTTATTACAGTATTTCAATATTTATGAGTTCAGGGTTTTTTTGTTTGTTTTGTTTTGTTTTTTTGTGGGGGGGGTCACACTGTACCCTTTTGCAAAGGTATGTATCCATCTCTTTTTTCCACCTAGCTATGTGTTAATTAGTTGGATGCGTATCAATGAATGATTATTATCTCCAAAAATTTCTGACAATCTAAAAATATCTTTTGGCTTTAAATAACCTGCAAAAAGTTGATAAACCGTAAAAATAAATCACTCAATCGTGAATAGATAGATCTGGACAAAGTGAGATACACAGACACGTTTGAAAGTGCTATGTATGTCCAGAAAAATTGTTCAACCAATTGTACTGTCATTTCTTTAAGAGAAAGGTTATGAGTTGTTCCGTCATGATAATGTCCGCCTTTATGATACTCATGTTATTGAAATTGCTTAGAACGTGCCTACGGCATGTCTAGACAATGCTTCACCTCTAGATTTATGTCAAGTATGCATTCGAGAGTTTGGATTGGTGTTGCAGTGTATTATTAGCTAATCTAAGTCCGATAAGATATTAATCATGTCATCTCGATAGCTGTCCATATCTTCATGACAATTTCTATATGAGGACCATTTTAACGTAGCTTCCTCACTGCGTCCTTTCTATAAATATTTTCATGGTAATTGTTTATATGCGCTTTCCTTTTTGGTACCTCAAGTTTAAGAATATACGCGTAGTACTAGATTGGCAGTTAGGTCTCATCAATTTAGAATTGAAATCGCTAGATGTAACCTTAAGTTATATATCAACAGTTTCTTCTCTTGTACTTCTCATGTGTGGAACTCTCTTCATCACGTCCCAGTCAACTTTGATCTTCAATAATTTAAATGTAATGTCGATCGTTATCTATCGGTCTCCTTAATAGTAGTTTTTGTGATATTCTGTAACACTCAGTAACCCTTTGCATCCTAGTGGCTTTATTGTCTTTCTTGGGGTGAGATGATATTTTTTAACCTTGTCATATTAATTTACAAGTTTAAATTTAAATGCAATGTCAGTCGTTATCATCCCTCTTCTCAATTCTTGTTCTTTTACTGCTCGAACTCCTTAATATTTTTAAAAAAAATTTTCTCGTATTCATTCACACTCAGTATTCCATTGAGTCTCAGTGGCTTAATTCCCTTGCTTGGGTGAAATTATAAAAAAAGAAATATAAGAAGAACTATACATTGGGAGATGTGTATGAGGTACCAGACGACGTTGAGCGAAGTAAATGATTTCACACTCTTGCGTATCCACCAACGAATGACGAGAACTTAAAGTTTATATTAGACAGCCATTGATCAAAACATCGTTCTTTATCTTTTCATTACTTTGTCAGGTAAAGTGTGACGAACTCCAAAATGAATTCAAGTCAATACGATTGACGCAGCAAGTGTTCTCGTTATTAATTGTCTAGACGCAGACGTTGCCGATATTAGAACAATTGAATCAAGATTAATTCAGATTCCAAACGCAATTAGCGATACCATCAAACCCGCCTTATTGCATACTTACAAATACTAGTGGAATCAAAGGGAGTGGTGTGTCGAAGATACATCAGAACGAATTATAATGACTTTTATTCAGAGAGAAAAACTTTATTAATTAGATATTGTTCATTTTTCAGGCTCTTCATATAATACTTCGATTTGAAAATTATAGTTTTTTTTTCTCTAAAACATCTATTGGTTAAGCTAATCAATGCAGTTCATAGAATAGTATTTGTGACACGATGATTCTCAAGCTTTCCTCTCTATCCAGTTCGGCTCACGATACCAGAAATAATCTAATTTTTTCACAGTTGCCTATTTATATAAATGTTGATATCACTGGCAGGATTTAATAAATACCTCAAGGGCTATTCTTAACCAATGATTACATGCAAGTGTGCGTCTAAACAATGAGAACAATAATAAGTTTGTATTCTATATGCCTACATAAAAGTTCTTACTATATCAAACACTGAATTTGCAAGACATCTAAACATTTTTGGGGGGATTATAATTCGGCGTTACCTGCCTACCAACCGCAGGATTTAGGAGATATAAAAAATTCTAAGAGCTACAAAAGACAGGAAATTGTGGAGAGCCATCGTAGCTAACGTCAAA